TGGAGCTGGGGGATGACAAATCCCGACCCCCGAGGTTCTGCCGGTCCTGGAATTGTCCTGCGGAGCATTGCCACCTCTGTACGTGTTTATCTGCCCCTTCTCATGTATTTATCTATTTTTGTATATAAATATATCTATTGATATCAATTTATATGTATTTAAATATTTTTATATGCTTCTATATCACGTCCTATGGAAGGGGAAATCCTTCCCTCCTACCTGCCCTTTATTTTGATCTGTAAATAAATACGAAGTGTGTGTTTTTCCTATTCCACACGTCTTCCCCTCCCTCACGTTTCCGCAGTGGAAGGATGAGGTGGTGCCTGCGAACTGGACACAAATCCACGCCCCAACCCAGGGATGCACAAGCAGCCGAGGAAAAGAGCGAAAGAAGCCGCGGGCAGCCGGGTGGGACAAGCGAGGAGAACGAGCTGGGCGCGGGGGGGGACCCTGCAAGGGACAGAGGGACGGACAGAGGGACGGACAGAAGCGCATCCCGAGCCCTCCCCGTGTCCCCGGCTGCCCCCGCGTACCTCGGAGCGGAGGCGTCGGAAAGGGGCGTCCTCCCGAACCGCCCGAACCGCCCGGGGTTTTGTGCCGGGACGGGTCTAGAGGGGGCCAGCTGGGCCGCCAGCCGGGTGGCCGCGGGGTCCCAGCGGGACGGGGTCCGGCGGAACAAACCGGCGGCGGCCGCGGCTGCCTCGGACATCGCGGCTCCGCTCGAGCTCCGGCTCCTGGCCGGGCCTCGGGGGCCACATCTGTCCCCTCTGTCACCGCCACCGCCCCCCCGTCTCACTTACCATTCTTTCCCCTCCCCCATTGCTTCTATCCTGGGCACCCACCGGGGTCTTCCCCTCCTCCTCCTCCTCCTCCTCCTCCTCCTCCCCGGGCGCTCGGGTTCTGCTCCTCTCCTCCGTGCCAAAGCTCTTTTCCCTGCCCAGCGCCAGGATCGCGTTTCCAGCACCTCCCTCCACCTGTCCCCGAGCTCGGACCTTCTCCCTGGGCTCGCCTTAACCCTCTCCAGGAACCTTCCAGAGGCTCGGCGGGGCTGGGGAGGGAGCGGAGCTTTTCATCCCTCTCCCTAAACGGTCAAAAATTATTAATCTCGCTGCTCAAATTTGGGGGAAAAGGGCAGGAACGTCTCCTGTGGGGCATCTCCCACCTGCCACAGGTGTCTTGGTCAGGTAAGGAGAGCTTGGGACCCCCGAACCGGCAGGAAGAGGGGGAAAATAAAAGGAGAAGGCAACGTGAGTCTCTGCCAGATAAATATCTGTGGATACACACGTCCTTCATTTCCCCTGGCTTCCAGCAGCTCCCTGATGCTTCTCTCCCAAAATTCCCAGCCAGGAACTTCCCAGCCCCGCACTGGAGGGAAAAAAAAGAAACCCCAAAACCCGGGACGCGAGCAGGAGGAAGCTCCGTGGCTCGTCCTTGGGGTTTGGGTGTCAGGATCGTGTTCGGGGCCACCAGCTGCTCCCAGACCACCGGGAATGCTGGGGCAGGGAAACAGGGACACGAGCCAGTGCCGAGCCTGAAGGTTTATTTTAGAGCCGGTACCAAATCAAGGCTCGCAGCGGGAGCCCGGCGGGGGCCGCCGTCCCCGATTGCGAGCCAAGAGCGGCCGGGATTGGCCCCGGGAGCGCCAGGATCGCGGTCCTGCCCCGGCCGGGTCAGTCCGCGGGCTCCTCGCCCCACTCGTCGTTGCACAGATCGGTCTCGCAGCAGGAATAGCGGGAGGTCAGGCGGGACTCGGCGTCCGACGCTCGCTGCCGGCCGCAGTTGAGGGCGGAGGTGCAGCCCTGCTGGTAGTAAAGGGTCACCTTCCCTGCGGGGGAGAGGAGAAGGCCGTAAAAAATCGGAATCTGGGCTCTGAGGAGAAACCGAGCTCAGAAATATAACCCCCAAATCAAACCACGGCTCGGTTCAGCTGAGAGAAAAAGAAAATCAGGAGCTGCGCCCAGAGGGACACTCTCCCCTTGCCTTAAAAGCGACTTTTGGAAACTTTTTTGGCACGACCTCCGCGGAGAGCACGAACTCCCTGCCACCCGCCCTTTGCCGGCAGCTCCGTCCCCCCACCCTCACGCATCCAATTTGCTGTTCCAGGGGCCGGGAGAAGGAGAAGGAGGGAAGGGGAGGATGAGGAAGGCCCGGGAGCCGCGGGCAGTCGCACCCAGGCTGGTCTGGATGAGCGCGCACTTCTCGCGGCGCTCGCAGCTCGTCACGTTGGCCCCTCGGAAGCAGCCGAACAGGGGGATCTTGTACTTGCACACGTGGCATCGGAGCGCCTCAGCTGCGGCGGGGCGGAAAAACCGGGATGAGCCCCGGGACGAGGCGGGAGAAGCCGCCCCGGACTCCGGGATGAGGCCGGGATTGGCGGGCGCCGTTGATTAAACCCGGCTCGGTCCCCGCTCACCGGCTCCGGCGCACAGGACGAGGCTCAGCCCCAGCAGGAGCAGCTTCATCCTCAATTTTCTCCGGTTCCCTGCCCGGCCCGGCGCTCCCTGGAACGAGCAGGGCTCGGGAATTCGTCTCTGGGATGAGTTCCCTCAGCCCTGGGACACGGGGGGGAAAAACAATCGGGGTAAAAACCGCCCCGAGCAGAGAAAATCCCGGTTTGATTTGTGAGATAATCCTTAAAAACAGAAATAGGGGAATTCTGGGGGCTTCAGTGGTTGCGGTTCCAGGGCGGGAGCATCCCAGGGGAATAAAATGATCCAACGAGGATGAAAGGAAATTTATCCCCAAAGTGCTGAGACGCAGCGAACCCAAACCGGGTGGATTTGGGTTTAAAAAAAGGGGAAAAAAGATCAAATTTCCGTGAACAAAGGGATAAAATTATTATCCACCGCCCAACGTGGGGCTCGAACCCACGACCCTGAGATTAAGAGTCTCATGCTCTACCGACTGAGCTAGCCGGGCTGCCGAAAAAACGCTTTTTCCACCTTTTTTTCCACTAAAAAAATAAATTTCTTTGCGCTTTTAAAAAAAATGTTCAGTTATCTAAAAATTAACCCGGTTTGTCTCTTATAGAATATAAAAATAGGAGTAAGAGATATAAAAGTGTAGAATATAAAACCATACGGAAATAATAAAGATGTATTTGGTCATTATAATATAGGATATATTTATGTGCTATAAATCTATTCATTTACTTATTTTAATAGACGATGTATTTATATATTTTATATGTATTTATACACAGATTAGATACCATATAATAAATTAATTAATATCTTTATGTGTTATTATTTATACTTTATAATAAGATATACTTATATATTTATATAAAATATGCTATATATATGTTTTAATATACTTTTTTATATAAAAATAAATATATTTTAATCTAAAGCATATTAAAACATATCTATAACGTATTTTATATATTAAAAAAAGGGTGGGTCCCTGTTCCTTGAGAAGTTTGAAGAGATGTTGGGACGATCCCGATGGACACGGAGAGCACAAGGACGAACCCAAAATCCCCAAAAAA